CGACGGGGCCGCTGGTGAAAGGGCGGCGAGGGGCCGCAGGGGGAGAGCGGTGACGGGTCGCGAAGGGCGGCGGATCGGGGTCGCAACAGCGGCGGATCGGGGCCGCAAGAGGCCGCTAGGGGGCCGTGAGGGCGGCTTGGGCGGCGCGACGCAGTCGTTAGGGCGGCGCGACGCGACCGCTAGGGCCGCGCGACGGGGCCGCTAGGGGCCGCTAAGGGCGACGCGACGGGGCCGTGAGGGGCTTAGCGAGGGCGCGACGGTAAGGAAAGCACACGAGGCGCGACTCGGGCATAAGCGGAGCGCGCTCCGGGCAGGAAAAAAAAAAATTCGTAGTTGTGGGCCCTAGGAATCGTTCCCGTTAGGGAACCTGCTCGATACCATGAGAAGAAACGAGAATGAATGAACTATGAATGAATTGGGTACAAGTACTAACCCTAATTGGGTTGTACCCCTTGTGGGCTACCCCACTATAGCCTACACAATATGCATGAGCTATGATGTTCTGACACCGCGCTGGCAGACTACTCTGCTGCAGCGTTGGCAAGCCGCTCTTCTGCTGCAGTTCGCATTGCAGAGGGCTTGCTAAGTGTTGGAATGTCTTTCTAGCTATATAGACTTGCATGCCTCATTGTAATCTAATGTTCTCTAAATTTCTTAGTGGAATTCTTACCATTGAACATAGCAAGTAGTGAGAACGCCTAGTGCAACGCTACGATCACCCGTACAACCCCGTGCCTTCCTCCGTAGTCTACTCCCGTAATGTAGTGACTCTCCGCATCCCGGTGTCAGAATGTGATGTTTGTGTAGCCTGTAGTGGGGTACTCTATAGCGAGTACACCCCGAATTAGGGTTTGCTATATGTACTCAACTGTACTCAGCCCTTTCCTGTTTCTGATTCTTGCCTAGCCTTTCAACATGCTATTAGAGCAGGTCGACCCTCCTGGGTCGATCCTGTGGGTGGGCCCCACCCGATGCTTCCGCTGCTCTACTGTCTATAGCGTGCCCCGGGCGCGTGCTGTTTCCTGCCTGCCGCGCGCTCCGGGCGCGGAGCGATTTTTCTTCCCGCCGCGCGCTCGGGGCGCGCGGCGGTTTTCTGCCCCGTCGAACCACGCGTCGCCCCCTGTCGACCGTCGCGTCGCCCCCCGTCGCCTGACGCGGCCCGCACGACCTGCGCCATGTCCGCGCGCGGCCCGTATGGGCTGCGCCAGGCCCGCCCACGGCCCGTACGGGCTGCGCCAGGCCCGCGCGCGGCCCGTACGGGCTACGCCAGGCCCGCGTGCGGCCCGGGCACCCCGCGTGCGGTTCGTCCCGAGCTTCTGACCGCGCCCCACCCCCGCTGCTGCACGCGCTCCTGTTTTAGGGTTTAGGGGTGGAGAGTATGGGGGTGCTGTCAGAATATTATTCTTATGTTCTAGCCTGTAGTGGGGTGCTCTATAGCGAGTACAACCCTTCTAGGGTTTGCTATTTGTATCCTCATTCTTGCTAGTTCAATCCCCTTTCTTTCTTCAAACTTTGTCATGCTATCAGAGCAGGTCGATCCCCTTGGATCGATCCTGTGGGTGGGTTTCCACCTCGCTTCCGCTGCTACCTTTCCTTCCCGCCGTGCGCCCCGAGGCGCGCGGCGGTTTTCCTTCCCGCCGTGCGCCCCGAGGCGCGCGGCGGTTTTCCTTCCCGCCGTGCGCCCCGAGGCGCGCGGCGGTTTTCTGCCCGCCGTGCGCCCCGGGGCGCGCGGCGGTTCTTTGCCCGCTGTGCGCCCCGAGGCGCGCGGCGGGCGTCTGCCCTACCGTCGCGGCCCCGCCCTGCGTCGCGGCCCCGCCCCTCGAAGCGGCCCTGCCCTACGTCGCGGCCCCGCCCCGACCGTCGCGGCCCCGCCCCTCGAAGCGGCCCTGCCCTACGTCGCGGCCCCGCCCCGACCGTCGCGGCCCCGCCCCTCGAAGCGGCCCTGCCCCGACCGTCGCGGCCCCGCCCTACGTCGCGGCCCCGCCCTGTGTCGCGGCCCCGCCCCTCGAAGCGGCCCTGCCCCGACCGTCGCGGCCCCGCCCTACGTCGCGGCCCCGCCCTGTGTCGCGGCCCCGCCCCTCGTCGCGGCCCTGCCCTACGTCGCGGCCCCGCCCTGTGTCGCGGCCCCGCCCCTCGAAGCGGCCCCGCCCTACTTCGCGGCCCCGCCCCTCGTCGCGGCCCCGCCCCTCGTCGCGGCCCCGCCCCTTGTCGCGGCCCCGCCCTCCAACCAGGCCCGTGGTGGGTCCCTTTCACCACCCCGCCTCCCCCCCCACCCCCCCCCTCCCCCCCCGCCGCCCCGTGGAGGGGCGAGCTGTGGGGTGGCGGGTATGCGGGTGAACGGTGTGCCTTCCTCCCTTTGCTCCTCCTCCTTCGTCTCCCACTGCTGCAGCTGTCGCTGAGGGGGGTGGTTGTGTGGGAGACTGGGGTTTAGGGTTTAAGGGGGGGTGCGTGGGAGTAGAGCTAGCGGTGTAGCAGTGGGTGTGTATCAGGGGGGTGGGACTGTTTGCGGGAGGTTGAGCGGAGGCTGCCGGCTTGTCGTCCGCAGCACCTGTAGTCCGGGGCGCTGTCCCGGTAGCCCAGTCGTAGCCAGCTGTGCCAGCCGCCCGTGGGTCCGTTGCCCGTCCGCCGCTATTTGAGCCGCGGGGCCTGTTACTCCTGTAGTCCGGGCGCTGTCCGGTAGCCGCTGTGCCAGTCTGCCTCCTGTTGCCCGTGTGTCTGCAGCTTCAGCCGTCGCCTCCTGTCTCCTCTCCCCTCACTCTCCCTCCTCCTCCTCACTTGCCCGTTGTGACTACCACTAGCTTTGCTTATAATTGTGAACTCTAAACTATTTCTTCTTGAACTTGTGCTCAGAATGTGTGGTGACATTGTGATCCACCCTGAGCTTGTTTTGCTTTGCCTGCTCTGCTGATTACACCCCACTTTGGCTATGGGGGTGTGTCAGAATATTATTCTTATGTTCTAGCCTGTAGTGGGGTGCTCTATAGCGAGTACAACCCTTCTAGGGTTTGCTATTTGTATCCCCATTTCTGCTAGTTCATTCCTCTTTCTTTCTTCAAACTTTGTCAGGTGCCGGGTGTGTGAGCCGTCCCCTGCTCCTCCTCCTCCTCCGTCCCCCACTGCTGCAGCTGCCGCTGAGGGGGGTGGATGTGTTGGAGTCGTCGGAGTGGTACGAGGGGAGTGGCGTGTGAGCAGTGCTAGAGGTGCAGTAGGGAGTGTGTGAAAGGGGTGTGGGACAGTTGGGGGAGGTTGACCAGAGGTAGCCGACTTGTCGGCCGCAGCGCCTGAAGTCCAGAGAGCCACGACCCCCTGTAGCCTGAGTAGTCCGGGGCTCTGTACCCGATAGCCACAGTGTGAGCACTCCTAGTAGTCCAGAGAGCCACGACCCACTGTGGCCTGAGTAGTCCGGGGCTCTGCGCCCGGTAGCCACAGTGTGTGCACTCCTGGGAGCACAGTGAGCCACCTGCGTCTGTCGTCGTGTAGTCCGGGTTTAGCCTGGTAGCGTCAGTGCTGCGCACTCCTGCTTCCTGTGTGTCTGCAGCTTCAGCCGTCGCCTCCCATCTTCTCGCCCTCACAGTTTCTCCTCCTCCTCACTTGCCCTCTGTGACTGCCTCTAGCTTTGCTTATAATTGTGAACTACTGCTCTGCCTGCTTGTTGTATTGATTGTACCCCACTTTGACTATGGGGGTGTGTCAGAATGTGATGTTTGTGTAGCCTGCAGTGGGGTACTCTATAGCGAGTACAGCTCGAATTAGGGTTTGCTATATGTACTCAACTGCATGCTAGTGAAAAACCTCTTCCCTGTTTCTGATTCTTGCCTAGCCTTTCAGCACCCGGAACAGTACATCACCCGGCGAGTCTGTCGTGCGGCCAGAATTGAGCATGGTCAAGGCGCGACGAAGGGCAGTGGAAACCACTTGAATCATGTGGAGTCAGTCGAGCGAGGGAGTACTGCCAGAAACCCCAACTGCCTGTACCAAATGGCAAGAAGAGCGCCCACTGCTTTCAACTTCGCAGGGCCGCTGCTCCCCAGTTGACTTGTCAGGCCCGCCATGGATGAACAAATATCCCAGCCTCAGATCCCAGGGCTTCTTAACCTCCTTTTGACCTCCAATCGGTGTTGTGCCGCGGAGCAAGATCCGTTTGTTAAAAACCACCCTCTCCTGCAGGATCTAGTCCTTTGTGATGGCCACCGCCTTTGTGCATAGCAGCGAGCTTTTGAGACACTCACATGTTTGTTTCCAACAGACACTCCCCCCTTCCCAGTGCTCGAGCAGCTTCCCATGAGCTACAAACGACTCTGCTCCTAGTGGTAATCTCGCCGCACGTAACAAAACTTCGAGATGGCTGGCGGTTGTCGCCTCGCCCAACCCTATATCCAACTACAATCCAGTCTGTCACATGTCTCGGAACCGATATGGCGATAGAATTATGGCAAATATTACTCTCCAGAAATATACTATCACATAACCCCTTAAGGTGTTAGCCTGTTAGGTATCATACAGGCTTGCATGTCATTATTGGCCACACAGCCCTCTTGTTTGCAATTATATTTATACCGTAAGTCCAGCTTGCAGCACAAATAAGATTTCACTTTATGATTGACATGTAGGCACAGAAAGGCGCACAAAATAAACCACACACCTTGTGACACTACTACGTGCAATACAACACACCCGGCAGTACACTGTGCTGCTTTTCAATGACACTGACCACGAAGCAGGAAGCTGTACTACGTGCTTTTCCATCCTGCATCTGTAGGTCGCATTGCATGGTATGGCCTTGCATTGCACTGAGGCCAGTCAACCCATGCCTGCATGCCAATCACACGTGAGAAGAGAAGCAAAGCACCCAATACCGATCCGCACCTAACAAGACACCCAACCGAGCCCACCCATAATAAAAACCAAAGCAAAGCACCTCACGGCCACTCGTCCAAACACCCGATTCTTCTAAAGCAGCTACTCATCGAAGCCAGCAACCCAATGGCCAGAGCACACAGCTAACCAGCAAGCCAGTGAGCACACAGCAAGCCAGCAAGCACACAGCAAGCCAGTGAGCACACAGCAAGCCAGCAAGCGCACAGCGAACTACCTAGCTGTCATATTAGAGGAACACTCTCAGCACGGGCCCACTCCACAGCTCTACCCAGCACCACCCTCTCAACACTAGCCCCCCTCAGAAAACCATAGCCAAGCAGCTAGTTGTCATAATAGAGGAACACTCCCAGCACGGGCCCACTCCACTCCTCGCCTGTGTCGCTATTGGCAACGATAAGGGAGAGTGACGTGGGAGGAGCGGCGATGTACGGTGGGGTTACTGGCATGAAGTTGCTGCTGCTGTCGTTGTTGTCACTGTCATCACCGTTGTAATCACTGCCGCTACGGTCACCGCTGTTGTCACTGTCCTGGTCGTTGTAGTCACTGCTGTTGTCGTCACTGCTGCTGCTGTCATCACTCCCATCGTTGCCACTGAGATCGTCACTGTCCTCGTTGTTCTCGTTGTCGTCACTCCCATCATTACTACTGTAGTCACTGCTGCTGCTGTCATCGCTGTCCTCATTATCAGCACTGTCATCGCTGCTGTCCTCATTATCAGCACTGTCATCGCTGGCATCCTCGTTATAATCACTGCTGCTGCTGTCACTATCGTCACTCTTGGCCTTGGCACTGAGATCGTCACTGTCCTCATTGTTCTCGTTGTCGTCACTCCCATCGCTAACATCATCATTGCTGCTGCTGTCATCATTGCTGCTGTTATCATCATTGCTGCTGCTGCTATCATCATTGCTGCTGCTGCTGTCGCCGCTGCTGCTGATATCGTCACTGTCCTCATTGTTCTCGTTGTCATCGCTCCCATCGTTACTGTCAACAATGCCCTCCTCCCTCTCCTCCTCCCTCTGCTCCCCCCTTTCCTCCTCACTACCCTCATCCACACTCTTAACCGCAAACAGGCTTTTGAACCATGCATCTGCTGCCTCCCACAATGCCCTCCCCCGCTGCCCCACCCTCTTCCCCACACTGCCACTACTCACACCAAACCTCCTCCCATAACCATATCCGTTACCGTTACCATTTCCGTTACCATTCCCAGGACCATACCCCTGGCCCCATCCCCTCACACCATTCGCCCAATCCTCAGGTACAGTAGCATTGGGAACTCCGGCCAGAATATCCTCGATTGTAGCAGCATCGACATCCTCTAAGGTGTCAAAGAGCCGAGCTACAGTGACGGTGGTGTAGAGACCCCACCTGGCGGGGCCGCCCGTTGAGTTGGCGAGCTCCCATTCGTCGGCGGCAACAGGGAAAGAGAAGAGGGTGGGGGCAGAGTTGTTACAGGCAGTGCTGCTCTTAACGAGTGTGATTGTATCGGGGACGGAGGAGGCAGAGGTGACGTTACGGATAACTACGGTGTAATGGAGGTTGTAATGGCCAGTGGCGTTCCTGGTGGAGTGGGAGAGAGGGACGAGGTGAATCAAATCATAAATGATATGGATACAAAAACGTTTGTTTGACGTATGAGCCGATCGTAACAGTACGCGGCCATAGATTTCCCCTTTGTGGCATGGGTTGCTGCTGGCAACGGCTATAATGTGGACATGGACATGGATGAAAGAGAGTGATAAGAAAAAGGTACATGACTTATCATTGAATGTAGTAAAGGTGGAAAGCAAAAAAAAAAAAAAAAAAAAAAAAAAAAAGGATCTTACTTGAAGATGGAGAGGAAGAAGGAGCCTCCAGACAGCAGAGGAGCATCTGGAGAGCAGCTGGCGAGGGACGCTCTCACCCGACCTGTTATAAGCACAATCACATACAAGCACAATCGCACAATCACATACAAGCACAATCGCACAAGCACAATCACATAGAAACAGACAGCAACGTTTGTAAGTGCCTGTCGCCACATTCAAATCTACATGAACATGGGAAAGCAGTTGGCCAAAAAAAAAAAAAAAAAGAGTTATGCTCGAAACTCTCACCTGTCATGTTCCCAAGGGCAGGGTCCGCAGCACCACACGCGAATCCTCCTCCTCCGCTGCTGTTGACCCACGGGTTACCACCACCGCTCCCATTCACACACGGTCCAGATCCGTTGCAGCAGGGTGTGGAGCCATCCGAGCCGTTCACACAAGGACCCATCCCAGATCCGTTACCATATCCATTCCCGTAGCCGTTGCCTCCTCCCTGACCATTTCCGAACCCAGCACCAGCACCAGGACCAAAACCGCTGCCAAAACCACCTCCAGCGCCAGGACCATACCCACTGCCGTTTCCGCTCATGCAAGGCCACGTGGTGCTGTTAAATGCCTCCACGTCATCCTCGTCCCACCACCAGGGACCGTTACCCCGCCCAAATCCCCCGCCCCTCCCAAACCCGCCTCTCCCAAACCCTCCCCTTCCGCATCCAGATCCGTTATTGCAAGGCCCCGTTCCGTTAAAGCACGGCTCTGTTCCGTTGACACAAGGAGCAGTGCCGTTCTCGTCCAGCCACCAGGGACCCCCGAAACCCCAGCCAGATCCATCCCCATTATAGCACGGCCCGGTTCCGTTCAAGCAGGGCGGCGCTGTAGCGTTCTCGTCCAGCCACCAGGGCCCCCATCGGCCCGTGGCGTTGAAGCAAGGGCTGCTTTCGTTCCAGCACGGATGACTCTCGTCCGTCGCGTTCGTATCCAGCCACCACGGCCCTCCAAATCGACCCCCTCCGTTACCGAAAGGCGGTCCAGGAAAATCACTGCTAGAAGACTCATTGTCGTCGTCGTCGTCGTCCCACCAAGGACCGTTGCCGCCGCCTCGACCGGGTCCGTAGCCACCACCACCACCACCCTGACACGGCCCGCCAGCACCATTGCCGCCAGTTCCGTTCATGCAAGGCCTGGAGTCATCTCCGTTATAGCACGGCCCAGTTCCGTTCAAGCACGGGGCTGTGGCGTTCTCGTCTAACCACCATGGGCCCGCGCCCCAGCCGCCTGATTCGTTATAGCACGGCCCGGTTCCGTTTAAGCACGGCGCTGTAGCGTTCTCGTCCAACCACCAGGGGCTCCAGCCGTCCGTTACGTTGTGACACGGGCCGGATTCGTTGAAGCACACATGAGTCCCGTTGAAGAAGCGAGGCCCGTTCGTGCTGCCGTTACCGTTACCGTTATCGGCCCACCAAGGTCCTGGGCCGAACCCAGCACCAGCACCAGCACCAGCACCAGCGCCGCCACCGCTGCCGCCGTTCCCGTTCCCGTTGCCAAGTCCGGGGGCGTAATAGTCGTCACTTCCACTGCTGTCATCGCTGTCACTGCTGTCGTCACTTGCACTGCTGTCATCGCTGCTGTAGTCGCTTCCGGCAGCGTAATCGTAGGCGTAACCATTACCGCCGTTACCACCGCCCCCCTGACCGTTACCGCCGCCGCCTTGACCGCCGTTGCCCCATCCGTTGCCCCCAGGCCCGCGACGAGCCAAGACTGCAGACGAGTAGAGAGAGAGAGGGAGGGACGACGGGGAAGTGGAGGGGGCGAGAGGGAGGAAGCAGGGCGTTGAGACAACTGTACGGTTCAGAGGCGTTCTGAAACGGACACCGAAACCAGCGCCGTACCAGGTGACACGAGGAGCAGTGCGGCGCAGAGGAACGCGACCCAACGGCGCGCCATTCTTGAGCCGGGATGCGCTTCGAGGAACCAACTCTCGCTCCGCGTGAGTCACTCCGTGAGTCACACCAGTATCAACTTGATCGTAAGTCGAAATGGTCCTTTTAAGCCTTGAACGGACAGAGATGGTACTTAACAATTCGCGACCGAGACACCGTGTCGCCCAGGCTGGCCGACGCTAGCAGCCGCTACTAATTATCACGATATGGGCGAGCGGATGACAAACGTGGAATGACTATGGAATAGATTAGAATCGGGAGCAGTCAATCATCTTTCTCTGGGACAAGCGGATGAATTCGTAGGCTCTTGTAACGATCGATTCAAGCACCCGGGCTTTATATACTTGCTTCTGAATCCGGCGTCTACGGGGGACACAACCACCCAACCACCCACCCACGCATATCGCGGGGGGAAGAGTCAGGCGCAGCAGCACTGTGGTGGTTCGTATAGGCGCTTACGCCGCCGCCGCCTCTCGCTCACCGTGACGAGGGATGATGGCTCGTCTAGGAAGGGGGCAGCGGAGAATCCCCCTCCCCATTTCCCCTTTCCGCCATTTCCCTCCCCCCCAGCTCCCACCACTGGCAACGCCTGTTGCTTGCGTTTAGGATCCTTCGCGGGAAAATAATGCGAAGCCCTAAGCGCTTGGTCAACGCGAAATTTCATCGTGGGGCGGTTTGCGACGGTCTCGTACGACAGGTGTCAGATCTGGCGACTGCGAAAAAAGGTGTAGCAAAAGGTTCCGCTCCGCATCTACTGCTCAACCGCCGGGTATGAGTAAAAAGGTCTCTTAGCGAGAGAGATTTGTGATGGGAGGGAACTACGGACAGCGATGGCCCAGTTCTTGTTCAACGCGAAATTTCCTCGAGAGGCGGCGTGCGACGACCAGTATACCCAGAATCGACCAGTCCCAGAATCTACCTCTGCTTCGCAAGAAAGCCCCGAACCCATCAATTCAAACTACGAAGAAAAAGTATTCGCGAGCCGACGTGGCAGCCCCACGACCAGTGCGAGCAGGTTTATCTACGAGGCTACCCAATCGCCATCTATTGCGCTGCTGAGCTGTTTGAATGGCCACCGCCCTGGCTTGGTTGAAACCTTTTTAGCCTGAACCTTCTGGAGAAAGCACATCTCAGCCTAGCTCGCAGCCCCTAACCACGCGCCCCACCATTTTTGCTAGGGCAACTCAGCAGAGAGTGTATCCTCGTTAGGACGAGAAGGCCCAAATTCACGATAAACTTGCGTTGCACCACCAAGAAATCACCCAGTAGTTTGTTCATGAATTCGATCAGTCGTACGAAGGTGCTGTTCGGGAGGAGGAGAAATGAGGTTAACCATCACTAAATAAGCTAGAAAGTAGGTTCGGAAGCCCAAAAATCGTGTGCGACCCCCATGCGACCTCCGTCGTGACCAAACCTCACGGTTTGGAAACATCAACATCAGCAACCACTCATCAGCGGCTCGAGATACCGATCTCGAGCCCATACCGCCCATTGACTGAACAGTAATCACAGGCAAATTTGTGGTGACTTTCCGCTCGCCATGCTACCACGAGCGCAAGATGAGTAATATTTTCCTGGGTAAACTTTCTGGGCAACATAGAGTGGTTCAGAATGGTTTAGAGATTTTCTTTTGAGAAGGGAAATGGAGCAGGGATGGGATGTTCTGGGGGAGGTGGTTGTGATAGAGCAGCGCGATCTTTGACTTCGATTTCGTTGTGATTTTTGCACGGATTACGTTGTCTTTTTTGCCCAGCATGCAGCGTTGACTATGCAAATCCCTGTCCGTTTCTCCAGCTGTCAACACTGTACAGACTTCGGTCAACACCTTACAGTGTTCCAAGTGGGTGTTTGTCCTTATCTCGATCAAGGCTCGGTGCCATACCTATCACTGACTTTGCGCTCATTCTCATATCTAGGGCTCCCGAACAGCACCGAAATGTGACGAAGGAAGCATAATTGTATCCAGTAGCGACTGGATCATTCGGGTGATTGGTTGGGCACGATGCCCAAATTGACCGCAAGAAGGCTGGAGCAGCGCCAGTCATTCCGTGTGACATGGTCAGCTGCCAAGCATGCCGAGCCGCGCTTGTAGGGCAGGCTGGCGCAAGCACGCGGCCCGACTTGACACAGCACAGCAGCAGGAACCGAAGGTTCTGACGAAAGCGGTGTGTAGAGGAGTGTTGCTTTCGAGGATCACATTTCATATGGGTTATTTCTCCATTTTGCTAACCAGACTTTGTGTACGGCAGTCCCGAATCGTGGGTTGGTGCCGAAATCGTGACGCGAGGCTGACTTGGGGCCGCAGGCGTCGCTCTGGGGTGTGTCGTGCCGTGGTCGTCGTCTCCGTCGGGGCGGACGACGCCATCACTGGCCGCGCTCGCGGGTTGCCCCACACTCCCGTGTTGTGATGTTGAGGGTGCGGGTTGAATCGGAGTGCCAGGTGCTTGAGATTGTGCTCTCAGGAGGTCATTTTGCAGTGATGAGCGTTCTGCCGTCAATGCCGCGATTTCCTCGGAGCTTTCGTGCAGTTGTCGCAGCAGATCGTTCAAACGCTCCTGCGTGAGAGTGGTGACGTCGATGTTTTCGGCCATGACGAAGGGCGTCGGCTCTTCTTAGTCTAGGCGCAGTCGTGGCTGCACGCGTTTACGAGAGAACGCGAGGACAGCGGCTCCTAGGGGCTAAGGTGCGTGAGTCCCTTCGAGTGAAAAATCAAAAGTTGATTTCCTGGTGTACGGAGATGCGCGGTCCGAAAGAAAGGGGCTCTGATAACCAAGTGTTACGGGTGCAATGAATCGAGGTAGCGAGAATTGCACTAAGGTGTCAAACGAGTACAAAATGTGAGCGAAGGCATGAGCGAACATTTATACGCGAAACATGCAAAACGGTAACGCGGTGCGTGCGAGCTTGCTAGTGCTACGCTGGAGCGAGGCTCGGGCTAGTCCCGAAGCGTAGGCCGATACGGCCATGCCAGCAGTGCGAAGTTTGGTAAAACGGTGCGCGCGAAGTCGGCGAAGTTCCGTTAGCAGTAACGGGCGAACAATCGGCTGTTGCTGTACGCGATGTAGTCGGCTCCGTAAGGAATGCCGAGAAAATTCCTTACACTACCCCCCCCCTCAAGAAGCCCCCTCCGCTACGCGAGTGCGTGTATATCGCGGAATCCCCGGCTCCTCATGTACACTTGCAGGGCAGGGTGATTTTCGATGTTGCTCAGGGGCACCCAGCTATCTTCAGTTGGCGTGCGATCCTTCCAGCGAACGAGGAATTCAATCCTCCTGATTCCCATGGGGTGGCGGATCCGATGGCTCATAATTTTTTCGGGCTCGATGATCGGCTCTGATGCAGGGCGAGTCATTGATTGTGGCCGGTGACGCGGCAGTTGACTTGTGGTCGGGATGTAGGGGCGAAGTAGGCTGACGTGGAACGAAGGGCTGATGTACCAGTCGGTTGGCAGCAGTAGGTGTGCGGTGACGGGTGTGATCATGTGACTGATTTGGAATGGTCCACAGTAGCGCGGTCGTAATTTTGGTACGTCGGACAGTCGCAGATTTTGCGTGTCGAGTAGCACGTAATCTCCAGATTGATACGTGACGGGGCGGCGGTGGCGATCAGCGTTGCGCTTAGCGATGACGTTGGCCTTTTTGATTGCTTCGGCGGCTCTGGCGCGGGCAGCTTGCAGGATTTCGGCGAATTGTTGTGCGCGTGGCGTTGGGTTGTCCGGACTCGGCGTCATGGGCACTGTGGGGTTCTGCCCATAGTTCAGGTAGAACGGGGACTGCTGCGTCGTGGCTGATGTGGCGTTGTTGTACGCGAACTCGATCAGCGGCAGCTGCTGCTCCCAGGTCGTGGGGTCGTCGCACGTGGCACGAATCAACTGCTCCATCGTCTGATTCGTCCGCTCCGTTTGGCCGTCGGTCTCGGGGTGGTACGACGAACTGAACTGTAGCCTGGTCCCGAACTGCTCCCAGAGGTTCTTCCAGAAGTTGCTGGTAAATTTTGTGTCCCTGTCGCTGATAATTGCTGCTGGTATCCCGTGCAGGCGAACAACGGCTGCGATGAACAGGCGAGCGGTCTCCTCGGCTGAGATCGACTTCTTGCACGCAGCGAAGTGTGCCATCTTCGTCAGCCTATCCACGACGACCATCACCGCGTCGTTACCCCCAGGGTTCGAAGGTAACCCTGTGACGAAGTCCATGGTTACTTGCTGCCAGGCGCGTCCGGGCGGTGGGATCGGCTG